TAATAAAGAAAATGAACTCAACAGCTGAAAGACACCTTTCGTTTTCTTCACCCTTGACAATGGCAAATCGGTGGCGTTTAGGTTAGCTTAAATTTTTATTGTAGAGTAAAAATTATCAGCTCCAAGTGACATTTTAAGAAACGGAGATGTGCTCAACTTGCAATGAGAGCGTCAGATTGTACAACTTGTGGTTCTTGCTGATGATAAAACGGAAGCGGATGCCAATTCGATTTCCCGAGATTCCATAATCCGGTGTAACAACTGAGTCCGTCATCACCAAATTTGCGGAAGGGCAGAAAGTGGGCGTTCTTCATGACAATGATTGTGAAATGCTACAGAAGCTCTTCCTTACCCTCTATCCGCGTTTCATCATGTCACCTCCATGGCCTTGAGACAAGGTCAATCAATCGTTCAACGTGACTCGCTGAAGCTCGTTGATGCCAGGTTCGCCAAGCGAGGAGAGTTTGGAAGAGCTGCGAGAGGTGTTTGCCCTCTTCGATCGCGATCACAATGGATACATGTCGCTGTCGGAGCTGAAGACCATGATGAAGCAATTCAATCGAGCCTGCACAAGCGATGAGGCTAAGGAGATCTTCAGCAACTTGGATAAGAACCACGATGGGCGTATCGACTTTCGTGAATTTGTTAGTCTCATGCAACCGTTACTGGATGAGAGTAAGAGCGGAGACTTTTACTTCCGCATTGCTTTTGCCTTCTTTGATAAGAATGGCGATGGGAATATTACCACTGCGGAGTTGAAACAATTGCTTCATAATCTGCACCTCAAGCTGACAGACAACGAGGTGGATGAAATGATCACTGAAGCTGATCTTGATCACAATGGTATTGTCTCATATGAGGAGTTCAAGAATATGATGGGTAGGAGTCACCCCTGAAGTCATTGAATGAACGGAATGCTCATGTGGATAGAAAACGTTCTAAATTTGGTGTTTGCAAGGAAGCGTTAAAGTTCGTTTCCTTGAGCCATTATCAGAAGGATGAGGAAATTGCTAAATGAATCTTTTCATCTGGTGTACATCCAATACTGTGAAAATGCTACTTTGTTTCCCTTCTCATATTGTAATTCAGTTAAAGTTACGAGTCAAACTATTTCAATTAAATAATTTCAATTCACTCACCAAATCCCTCGGCGATATTTCTTATTGCTACAGGAAGATAGTGTGAAAGAAATAAAGTGTTGCCCTCTGGAGCTTGTTTGGCAAATAAAAGTGAGGTGCATCCACTTTTGTCCTGTCAAATACTGCGCAACTACAAACACCCTTTCGTAAGTGACTGACAAGCGTGAATGGGGGATGGTAGACACGACTTGGAGACATGGCATCTGAGCAGATGAGAAAGGACATGGATTGGAGTTCCACTCCAAGTATTGGCAGACATAACTGTTCTCGTAAACCAACTTAGCAGTGTATAGTCTTACGTTGTGTTGTGTTGAGATTCTCCTTACGCCTTACACGAATAGAAGGCTAATGAAAGGAAGTGTTGAAGTGATTAACTTACTGGAGCTGATTCGTCTGAATGTTCGTAAGATTGAAGAGGAGAAAAGAGGAATGAACCGTCCATCCGCCAAAGCAGATCGAAATGTGTGGGAGTGGAAAGGTGCTAACTGCATCCCTATACAGGGATTCACTTTGGCCTTGAGCGAGTCACTAAATTATCGCGAGCAAGTTCATCGGCAGTCCACCGTGTACACGTAAACGAAAAGCATAAATAGACTTTCAGTGATGATGATGTGGTGCGATGCTATCGAGCGGATCACATGCGGCTACTGCTTAGAACACCAACCCATAACCATGTAATAGTTCGATCAGCGAGTTGCAGTCAGCATTTGCACCACTCAGACAGTCAGTTTTTTTCTGCCTAATGGACAATAGGTTAGCGGATTATTAAAAGTAGGTCCCAATATGACGTGCAATTTTAGTGCAAGGCGAATAAGAAACTGAGCGGCTTCGACTCAGATTGCAGGAAACCGCCTTTCAATTGCGCTTTCCTTCAAAAAATGACCCTACAATTCGATAGAAAATACACACAATAGAAGTCGAAGCACTTTATGCAACCTTCCACAACACGAAAACATGATATACAAGTTCATTATAGATACCCTAGAAGGTCAGAAAAGGCTAGCTAAAATACAAGAACAGTGTTAACCACTTACCAGTTCATCAATAATGTCTCTGGTCAGTTCTTATGGGTAACA